TTTTTTTAAGCAATTAATAATGCATTCAGTAAAGATGTATTAAATTAATGAAAAGTGACAGTAGAGATATTCAAAATTTCTATTACAAACAAATGCTGTTCTTTTGAATTTCTATTCATCAAAGAATACTGAATAAAAAAATGTTGCGGTTCGTGCGCTTGCATTGACTTACAAAGATACATAACAGCTACAAGTGTATGCACTACTTGCTTTATGCAAGCACTATATTTTATAGAATATTTATTTATAGAATAAATCAATAAACAGGGGTGCCGTGTAAAAAATCCTTTTTTAATATTCTTAAATTGCTAAAATGTTCAAAAAAGCATCTATTATATAATATCCATTTCTGATGTCGCCAATAATTAGAGATGCACCAAAATTTCGGCTGCCGAAAATTAGTTCACCGCTCAGGATTCACTTTCACGTGGTGTGACGCTCTGCGTATTATCCCGCTCTATGCGTGTGCGCTCCACTCATATACCATTCATGCTCATCGGAACAGCAAAGTCCACTCAAAAATCGAGCCGACAGGAAACATCGATGTAGTACAGTATTGTTTCTGTCTGCAATAGCCCTATTGTGTTGTAACAAGGTGTGGTAAATGGGCAACTCTGGTAACGCTGCCCTCTCATTCATTGATCTGCTAACCGCTATGTTATGCTCACTTGTTCTGATAATAATAGCTTTCTAGTATTAAACATTATTTGGATAATTGGTAAAAAATAAAAATAAAAGTTAAATATCTTAACCCTACTGTTATACCTACCTGAAAAACTAAAAAATCGAAGTTAGAAATTCAAATATTGTGACAAAATTAATTTTGTAAGGTGCCACAAGTTTGTTAAAATTTCCAAAGGGTGCCGCGACTAAAAAAAAGGTTGGGAAACACTGGGATAGATCACTATACAGGATTTACCCTATTATACTTTATCAACACGAATTGATAGGTGAAACAACAAACAGCCACCCACAAATAGTCTATATACAAAAGTATCAGGCTGTCTTTGAGTTCACGTGAACAACGGTTAACGTAAAGTTACTCGTCAGGCTACAGAAGAATACCATAATTCCTCCGTTCAATTAGGCCTAAGACATCGAGAGTCACGCAGACCTATAACAACACAGCCACAACACTTAATTGCGAATAAGATGCCTTACCTTAACACAGAATCGACCACAGAGTCCAACGTTAATATTTTTTCTACGAATCTTTGAGTTAACATGTACTAAACATGAGTGGAATTTGCACCGCACGCCCCCACACCTTGATACTCATGACAAGAATAGCATGTATAGTTATCTTAATTGAAGGGAATTAGGTTTAAATCGCCGTCATGCATGAATGAATGAATGAATGAATGATATTTTTGCAATTTCACACATAATAATCCACGATGATCACATTACACAAAACTGAAATTGCACGTCAAAATAACACATTGTCAATATTTTTTGAGACCCCCCAAAATTTCTTATTAAGGGGAGCCGAGCTCCCCCTAGCTTCCCCGTAGTTCGCACCCTGAATATAATGATAACATAATGACAGTAATAGTACAGCTTTATTAGTTAACATCCAAGGACTGGACAACTGTACTCTATGGTCATTCAGATCAGATTCATCTGACACAAATGGAATCCCTGGACTCATTTCAAGAAATTTTTGAATATTATAGATGGAAACGAAATGGTAGGGGGCTTATGAGATGGCCTAAAATAGCTCTCATGTTTATTTATGCCACTATTTGACCAGGACAGGAGTCAGATTGTCAGTGCTCACTCATTTAAAACAACACACAAACACACACACACACACTCAGCATGGCCCCGCTGATTCACTGCTGCGTGTTAATGAGACTGAATCAAGGGCATATAAGACTTGGGCACATCGACAGCACATAATCATGAAATCCACAGAGAGGAATATCTGACAACAGCTTTCAGCTGCACAGAGAAATATAATCAACTCGCATTATATAAATGTAAATTATATATTTGTATATGCGAGTAGATGTTAATAAGAGTGTGATTAGAGTTTACATGAAGGAATTTAACAGAGAAAAACGCTTCTTCATCTAAATGAGTGGAAAACAAAAAGAAATAAGAAAGAAAAGTAAATGAGTTCTGAAGATGATATCAAGGCAGGCTTGTTTTCTTCTATGGCTGATTGCTTAGACGCGAGAAATAAAACAGCAGGAGCATATCATGAGATCCAAAGATGATAAAAACAAGCAACGGGCTTTTCACTCGTTTCTCTCTCTCGCAGTCAGAACGTGCAGTCTCACAGAAGAATGGGAGTGATGACATGTTTGCTTTCATTGCTTTTAACAGCCAGGTCATCTGATGCACTGGAGCGTGAGGCTCTGTGTGGGAGATGTAACTATATCCAGAGCTAACTCACAGTTTGTGTGGGATATCTGCACAACGGCAGAAGACGACAGAGGTGTGAATCTAACTTCTCTCATTTTCACTTGCTCTGTAATGTAAAACGCTGCAAGCATTTTACATGGTTTAACTAATATTTTACAGTAAATTACCATATTTAGAATTTTACTATGAAATCAGTGCACACAAGTTCATTTTCACTCAATAGGGGAATACCATATGGCCTTGCATTTAATTTTCAAAATAATGTATAACTGTATAAAAATGTATAATATTAATTTTTCATTTTGTTCACCCATATTTAATCACCTGGGCCAAACGATAAAGGATTTTCTGACTCACAAATGAAAGTTTAACAGCAATTTACCATAATAGTTCTGAAATTAATTCCATTTCAATATTACTGTGATTTTATGATATATAACATTATAAGTAATAGCCAGTAATATGCTGTCACATTCGCAGTCAGATGTTTTACAGTGTGCATTAAACTGATGTGTAATTTCATTTATAAGGACTTGATGTAACAATTAAAGCCTATGAAGACATTTTAATTACGGGTTGTCGCAGACATGCCTCAGCCTCAGTCCGGACACCAGCCAGCCTTGTGCTTTTATTATGCACTGAAACGCATGTTAGTTTCTGGCAAGTCAGTGCAGAGGAAATGTTCACAAATTACCAGTTGAAAACGGACGCATGTTGGCTGGTAATCATGGACAGTTGTAAACTGATACACTCTGCAGACCTTGAGGTTGTCAGGATGTTATTCACAGAACGACATTAGTGCGATATCTCGTGACATTAGTCAGCAGTCCTCTGTAACGAATCAGCTCATGACAGGAAATATGAATAATTAACCATAACTAGTTATGATTAATTATGAATATTTTAGATCCGCTGTAGATATTTAGCTGACCTCTCAGGGTCAACTGTCTTGTCAATTCTAAGAACGTTAATTTCCTGGTTAAGGGAAATAACTTTCTTACTGTACAATTCTACAAAAGCTTGTAGCGTAAATCTGCATGATTAGTGACTCCGGTTATGAGCAAACAATGAACACGTCAAGTGTGATACAAGTAAGGTTTTATTAACTACATAAACACTTAAACTAGTGGGACAAAGAGTGGGTTATCCTACTCACATTCCTGGGGGGGTCATAAAACCAGTGATATCATGATTAGTTGTCATGGTGACCAAAGGGGGGATGGTGTTCAGCAGAAATCCTGGCATCCAGTTTATTGAGTGAGGGGACTGTGACGATTTGTTAATCTAATGAATAATTGATTTGTTAAATCAAATAAAAATTAGTGTGTCAGATTGGTCGAGACGCTACACCTCCATGACAGCCACTGACCTGTCTCTATCACAAACATGATGTCTAACGTGTCATCTGAGCACCATCATCACAGGTCATGAGATTAACAACTTTTGTGGAGCTGTTGACAGATATTTAGCAGGGAACATTACAATGCTAATACTTCCACAGAAACTGGAGAGCATTTTTTGCGTAAAATGACTAGCTTCCAAGGTAAATACATTTTGTGGGATAAATTCCCTGCAGGTATCAGGCATAAAATGTTGATATGATTAACACAAAGGTGGAGGTACCGGGGGAAGCCAAGCTCAGAGCAGGTGGGTGGACGCTACTGGAGACAAATGTAATGGAAAACCTCAAGCACTGGAGTGCTGCGTAGTTGATCTTTAGCTTATTAAAATGTAATACACAAAACATACATCGTTTTTTTTCTAAATATGTATCCTAATTTTTTCTAACCCCCAGGTAGTCATCTTAAAATAACTATTAAAATATATACAAAACACACAAGCTTTCTACATGTACATCTAAACATTTCTCTTATTTTTTGGTCAAATAATCATCAAATTGGTTATTAAAATACACATAATGAACAAAATATAGACCGATAGGTTCTACATCTCTCTCTCTCTCTAAAACACAAAATATACATAGTTTTAAGTCTAAGCATTTCTCCTTCTTGTTTCTTTCTTTCTTTCTTGCTTTCTTTCTTTTTGTCAAGTAATCATCAAATTGATTATTAAAATATATGTAACGTACAAAACATAGGCCTACATAGGTTTTGTCTAAACATTTCTCTTATTTGTTTTTCTTAGTTTTCATCTGGTATTTGTCTTACATTATATATATTATACACACAC